CCTGTCTGATACCTTTTTAAAAGATCTCTCCTACCAAAGTCATTAGAAAATCCTGCTCTGCATAACTGACCACTGGATGTCACTGTTGCATAGAAAGATAGCTGCAAATGTATTTGTGTGTGTATTTGTCTATGAATATCGTGACTCTTACTTGAGTTTCAAACTGGCACGTTCTGGTTTATTAGTATCAGATATATATGCATCTGTGTCTTTGCTCTAAATCTTGTAATAGATCACATCCCAGTGCTTGCTGGCTGCTTTCTCAGTCTGTCCTTAGTCAAATTGCGCCATAATTGTGAAAAGATTACACTTAAGTGTGTGTTTACATTGAGGAGAGCTCTCTCAATGTAAAATCGTAGCGGAGACCAGGCATAAGTATTTTTTACCTCAATGTAGTTACATAAGAATGACCATACTGGGTCAGACCAATGGTCCATCTAGCCCAGTCTCCTGTCTTCCATCAGTGGCCAATACCAGATTCTTCAAAGGGAGTGAACAGAACAGGACAATCATGAAGTGATCCATACCCTGTTCTCCAGTCCCAGCAACTGGCAGTCAGAGACTTAGGGATACCGTGAGCATGGGGTTGCATCCCTGACCATGGCTATTGATGGACCTGTCCTCCATGAACTTATCTAATTCTTTTTTTAATCCATTTGTAGTTTTGGCCTTCACAACATCCTCTGGCAGCAAGCGCCACAGCCTGACTGTGCATTGCGTGAAGTAGTTCTTCCTTTTGTTTGTACATCAAGGTTATCCCAAAGGGGGGGGTGGGGGAGGGAATACAGTTGATTTCGGTTAGCGGTGTTAAAGTAAAAACTGCCTGTAGCTTATCTCCAGTAGGATTTTACATAGAGAGCTCTCTGTGTAAAAAAAACACAGCATTATGTTTCTGAACGCCCGTATGCTTGCATGACGACAGAACTGGTAGTTTTTGAGCAATTCCCATCTTTTGGCATTCAGAGTCGTGTTGACTCTGCAGGAATCTGTGCTCAGATTTCCCAGTCTGGAGACTTACTGCTCTATCCAGGCCTCCCTGCTTTGTGGCCTTCTGTCATGCTCCCTTCATTGTTGCCTGTTACAGCTGGAATCCCTCCCAGACCCAGTCTATCATGTGGACACTTAAAACTCCTGTTGTTTCTGGTTAGCTTCCCTCCCACCCCCAGCACTCCGTTAGTTGTCCTAATTCCTCTCCCTACTGTCTTAAATGGTCTTTAAAAATTGCAAAACAACAAGATATGTTCTTCAGTCCCTGTACATTTTGTTGTCCTCCTTTCCCTATGTTTAGCTAGATTGTAAGCTCCTCAGGGTAGGGACTGTCTTACACTGTGTTACGTGCCTTACAGACATAATTGCTATGAAAAATAATAATCCTTTGACCCCTTCTGAGGATGGGGAGTGACCTGTGAATGTGTTGTGTTTTTGGAGCATTCTCCTTATCTCCCCACAACTCTATCACTTCAGTGAGTTATGAATATGGCAAAAAAAATCAAGGTCTACCTATCGTATTTACAGTTAAATGTTTCTGATAAAATTTAAAAAATGACAGGCTTTTGGGGTAAATTGGGTTTAAATAGCTGGCTAATATAAAGCATTGGTTTCATTTCTGAGGTAGTCTAGCCCATTGAACCTACAATTCAAAACTGCATATGCCTTTGAATTGCCTGGTATGAAACTGAAGTCTATGGAGAGATATTGGATTACTTTACTCTAAATTAATCTCCAAGCAGGGATGTCAGTTATATTCCATAATGTGATAAATAGATGATAGTTTAAATATTGGTGTGCAGTGTGACAAGCTTTGTCTATGTTGGGCACTAAGTGAATTTTTCTTGCAATTTTCAGAGTGTAGCTTAACAAGCGTGGAAACGTCCGCCATGTGTGTCGCACTCAAACTTTGTGTCCCTGATGATTATTGTAATTAAGTGATTCTAATACTGCCTGACACAGATGTTCCTCTCTTCCAGACAATTTATGAAAACAGAATATACAGCCTTAAAATAGAATGTGGGCCCAAATATCCAGAAGCACCTCCATTTGTAAGATTTGTAACAAAAATTAATATGAATGGAGTAAATAGTTCTAATGGAGTGGTAAGTGTTTTTTTGTTTGTTTGTTCGGTTTGTTAACACAGTTTAAGCTTTGAACGTTAATTTGAACCTACATTTTTACTCAGATGTTTCTTAACAAAATACTTTGCTTTCTTTTTGAGTAGTGGAAGTAGGGGAGGGATAAGGTAATTGTAAGATATTGCTAACGACTCCTCTCTTTCGCCTTAGCAACACTCATGTTGTTACACAATAGAAGCATTTATTAAGCTTGAAAGAAAACTAAACATATGTTAAGTTTTTCAAGCTTGCTGGCAGGTAACTTGATTAAAAACCACCGTATCTGATAGGCAGCTATATTTTTTGGACTCGGAGGACTGACAGGAGTGGTGTTTTTGTCTGTTTTTAGGTGGATCCCAGAGCCATATCAGTCCTAGCAAAATGGCAGAATTCTTATAGTATCAAAGTTGTTCTGCAAGAACTTCGGCGTCTAATGATGTCTAAAGAAAATATGAAACTTCCTCAGCCACCTGAAGGACAATGTTACAGCAATTAATTTAAAAAACAACAACAACAAATCATGCCCCTTTATTCAATTTAAGCTGTCTTCATTTTCCACAGTAGTAAATTTTCTAGATGCATCTTGTAGACCTCAAAGTACTGGAAAGGAAGTTCCCGTTCAAAGGAAGTTTATCTTGAGATACTGTAAATGATACTAATTTTTCATTTGAAATATAAGTTGTGCTATAACAATTAATCTTGTCATGTGTAACCACTGTCCACATAGTTGAACTTCTGGTATCAAGAAAAGTCTATTTAAATTTATTACTGTCAAGACCAGTGTGGCACATTTAATTCAACTGTGAAAACATATATCACACAATCACCTTGCTGTGTGTTTGGCCTGGGTTGTTGGGTTTTTTTCTTTCTCTGTCTTTTGCAATAGAGTTGAAGCTCAGGGCTATTTATTAGAATAGACACAAAGGTTTTAGCTTCCAGGACTATGCTGGGCTTTGTGGACTACTAATGGGGATGTGTGCTAACCTCAATCATCCCTCCCTTTGTGCTATCTCTAGTAAAGGCTGAATGTGACTGTGGTTGGTTTTATTTTTTAAGTCCTAGTAATCTAGGGCAGGCTTTCCTTCTTCCCTTTGGCCAAGGCACAGATTGTATTTCTCCTCCTGTCCCTCCCCTCCTCCCCAAATAACATGGGCCTTGGATAAGGGATTCAGGGTTTTTTCAATCTTTCCTCTCCCCCATCTTCCTAGAGGGGGTGCTGCTTTATTTTTGCCCCTTTTGTGAGTCTTCTCCTTACCCCTGGCCAGTGGCCAGCAGGAGAAAGTGTTTGGGCAATCACCTGACCTGTCCCCTCATGCTTGTCATTTTGTTTTTCCCAATGAATTTAGTCTTCACCAGCCTGGGAAACGAGTATCTATTCTGCTCGCAAACTTGGATCTCCCTTGCCCCCATGGCACTGCTGCCACACCGCCAAGCTGGCCATGGCTGATGTTATTAGATAGGCTTTTGACATGGTGAAAAGAGCAGTAATTTACCAGGATTGCTTGGATTTGCTAGCTGCCAAACTTTAATGGGGAAAATCTGCATGTAGAAATTCTAAACACACACTCCAATACAACCAGTCAAATTTTGGTGCTTCAAAATTGACCTGAGGATGTTAACTAATAAACAGTGCACTTACTTTTGACCCTTTTTAAAGACCTGACAATTAGAAACAAATCAACGTAGTGTAGACTTTTTTTTTTTGACACTTCACGTGTTGTGAGAGAAACTCTTCCATGAAGATTTGGGGATAAATGCTGTGCACAGCAGATTAGAGAGAGACCTTACTGGCAATGCCTCCTGGCAAATCACTGCCTTTTCTGACTTACTGTTTTGGACCACAAACTGCTGATATGTGGATGCAAGCTTAAATACAAACAACCTAGTGTGTCCTAAGTTTTATGACAAATTCAGTGTTTGTGTAAAAACCACATTTTAAAGCAGCGGCTATCAAGTCAATGAACAATTGATGTTTCCATTAACTCTTTTGAGGAAAATATTAGTTGTAAGGATTTAACATCCTCTGTAATTAAAGTTTAACATAACAGTATTCCATAAGCAGCCTTTTTATTGTATCAGACCATTGCCTGATTTTAATATAATAAAAAGTGTGCATTAATATTACAAGGCTTTAGTTGTATTTATGTTTAGAATTTTGATCACTTAGGGAAATCTTGAAATGTTTTGGAGTATCTTGTTACAGATCATAATATGGTGATCTGATTTAATAGTAAAATGTGAACATTTTTGCATATAACTTAACGTTGTGTGGTGAAAGAAACAACTGTTCTGGTTTGGGTGTGCTGCTGCCTCCTTTAGAGTACTTTGTAAAGGAGGATTTTATATGAGTCACATCAGTGTGATGGTTTAGGTTAAAGCCAGACCCAAAATAATTGGAGTGTCCTTCCTGTGATGATCTTAAGGAACTGCTGAAATAGAAACTCTGTCAGACAGAAAACTTCTACCCTGGTGCCTACCACGATGGCCTTATTTGCTGCAGTCCCTCTGAGAGAATGAAATACAGGTGTTGCAGTCTGTTCTATTCTACTATCTGTGTAGCCACAAAAGGAAGAAAAGATGAGGGGGAATCGAAGCTGGAAAGTCAATTAGTCAGATTCATTCCCATCATAAGATTTTTTTCCTGCTCTCTGTAATAGTGTATTCTGCAAACCTGGACTTCTGTTCAGAACTTCATATTCCCTATTTTTTTATCTGGGATTTGGTATTTCCGGTTATGAAGAGAGCCTTCTTCAAAAGGGAAAACTTAGATATTGCTTGTGAATTCACCTTAAAGTCTTAGGAAACTGGGCTCTGTGTGTGGGGGGGGGAGGTGGGAGGGGGTGGTGGAGGTAGGATTGTGGAGGGGAAGGGGTTATGTTCATCTGTAGAATTTACTGATGTGTTTTGGTTTGAAATACTCTCCATATGGTGAAGCAGAAATTATCTTGTAAAATGTGGAAACCGTATTGAGATTCGTGCTACATCAGCTTGTAATGTTTATTTCAAAGACCATGGCATCTAAAATGATTTTAAATGGAAAGCAGAAGGGTGGCTGATTATTGTGCTTCTTGAGACCAGTACTTTTTTTGTTTAAGATTACCTTTGCAATATCCCATATAACATGGACAACGCTTAGTTGAGGGCCTTAATACCTTGAGTAATCAACTTTTCAAATCCCACAAACTTCTCTGACAACAGGTAGGATGTAGAGGTTAGGGTATTCCAGATCCTTAACCCTGGTCCACACTAATCTTGAAAATGCTAGTAACAGTACCATTTAAGTTATGTTTAACCATGGCTATCATAGAGATGAGTTGCTGAAGAAAGGATTTAACGTGTATTTAAAACCTTCATTGTATTTGACTTTTGTTGAAACATGTCAACAGAACACCATACCAGTATTCCAGTCTAAGTCAAAGATGATCTGAACCCAAATCACTGAGATGTGCATCCACTGCAGATGATGTATTAATTGCCCTTGTGGAACAGACCCAAAAGTCCATTGCCTGCTAAGAGGTAGGGAGGAGAAACAATCCTGTATCACATCTGCCTGGTTGTTCTTTATACCACTTTTGGAGGGAAGGGGTGTGGGGTTTCTGCTTGACCCTTTCAGGCAATTGATTTGTGTCCTGAAACATGTCTCCTCTTAAATGGAAGCTCTAGAGAGAGAAGGGGTGGAATAAGAACAGGTATCAATTGGAAATCAGAATTGGGCCCTGTTGGTTATCACTTGGCTTGAATGTATGCAGCTTCGACTGAAATCAGTGGGAGCAGCCTGCAGGACTGAGTGGGATTTGACCCTAAAAGTGCTTCCCTTGACAGCCCTTTAATTTTTAGCTGCACTTCACAGCTAAACATTCTATATATTTTTATATATAATCACATTCAGCAAGGACAATCCTACCAAGAAATTTCTCATGTCCACTCTGAATGGCCATAGAAGGAGGTGTTATACTCATGCCTACACTGCATTTTAAAACCCACAACTGGGCTATGAAACTCACTGGTCTACAGACTCTGGCTCATGCTGTGGTGCTAAAAACAGCAGTGTAGGCATTGAGGCTCGAGTTCAAGCTCTGAAACCTGGGGACAAGGGTTGGGCTTCAGAGGCCAAGCCTCAGCCTCATCCGCAGCCTCTACATGGCTGTTTTTAGACCTGTAGTGCGAGCCTTGAAAACTTGTGTCCTTAGACCCGGGCTCTGAGATTCGCTGCCTGAGTAGCACCTGTATCTGTAGTAGCCTGAAACACCCATTGTTTCATGTTCTCTGTGTATATAAAATCATCCTCCTGTATTTTCCACTGCACGCATCCAATGAAGTGGGCTGTAGCCCACGAAAGCTTATGCTCAAATAAATTTGTTAGTCTCTAAGGTGCCACAAGTACTCCTGTTCTTTTTGCCTGAGTATGGTAACACCTCTTTCTGTGGCCACTCAAGCAGTAGAAATTGGAGGTTTCTTGGGAGACATACCCTCAGTTACTTAAATAGCATTCAGGCAGTAGAGGGAGCTAGCCAGCTTTACATCACTTTTCTCTGAGCAATGTGCAGATGTTGTTTAATTTAAATGCTAAATCTTTCTGTGGAGCCACTTCTGTATTTCTTGTATTGATTTAAGACTTTAACAGCCTGTTCAGCATGATGGCTTCCACACTGTCCAGAAGTGGACAGTTATATGTGGCACTGTAGTTTGACATTATTTTTCTAGGAGACAAATCAGTGCTGCAATGAGATTTTTATTAATTAAAACTTTCTTCTTCCTCTGAAATTAAGCAAAGCCATGGGACCTATTTGTGCTTTTTTTGTATCTCTTGCTCCTGCTGTAGCTTTTTAGATGTAAATTTTTTTATCACTACTAAGTGAGATCAGTTTCTGATTCTCATGCACTAGAAAAAAGCTGCAGTATTAAAGTTGCCTGGAAATGATCTGATTTAAAGAAGAGAGAGAACCTTTTCCCAACAGAATTTAAAATACATGGGTCTTGGGTTTTGTTTCATTTCTATTTAAAACGGGGAGGGGCAAACAGACTGTTTAGGCACATTTTGGGAAAGTTTATGGCTATCTTGTTTATAAATATTTGGCAATCTCTGATCTGCTGTTAATAAATTTTAAGTGAATTATTAAAACATGCTTAGCCAGAAAATTGACAGTCTCTATTTTTACTTGTATATCAAGGAATTGCATGATAGCACATTACTTATTAGATTGCAAAATTACCATTGTCCTACTTATAAGTCTACTAACATAATAGCACTCTACAAACAAAAGGACAAAGTTCCTACTCTAAAGAGCCTAGATCCTGCAATGAGCTCCCTTGGCTTAGGGTCCACATACTGCCCATTTTGGGCCTGAGGCCTGACATAGGAACAAGCCTTTTGAGCCTGATGAGTCAGACATAGCCATCTATTGCATAGAGCACAGGCCCAGCAGCCAGGCAATTCTGAGTTGTAAGCCAGACCCTGCCATTGACTTGCTGAGGATCAGCTGAAGTTTGTTGCCATTTATCATGCATGCCTATGAGTGCTGTATAAATAAATATTAAGGTATGTCCCCATTTTATATAGATGGTCAAACTGAGACACAGAAGGGCTTAAGTAACTTTACCGAGGCCATGCAGTGGCACAGGAGCCAGAGAATTCAAGAGTGACAGTGATAGTCCTGTGTTCAGTCCACAGTGTTTCCATGAACCATGTCTTTACTAACCATGCTTTCCCCGCATAGCAGCGAATGTGATATAACAGATGGAAGAGACTGACCAGCTTTATTCAAGAGTGTGCTGCTCAGAAGCTATTGTCTGTATTAGAGTGGCACCTAAATGCTCTAGGACCTCATTGTAGTAGCAAAAGGCAGATGCACATAGTAGGAGTAAGAGTATTATTTATCCCAGATTTAACTGAGGGGCTGGAGTGGGGTTTTCAAGAGTGCCTAAATGACTCAGCAGTCAATGGCACTTGAGTAATTTCTGAAAATTCCAATGTTAGTGACTTGTCTGTGATCACACAGGAAGTCTGTCGCTTACCTGGGAATAGAACTTAGGTCACTTGAGCCCAGTGCTTTAACTATGGGACCATGTTTTCTCCATCAAGGGGCGATGGCGTAAACACCCACCATAAATACGCCACTGTCCTCACCAGAGTACCTGCTAATTCAGCACGTAGCCACAGCAATGGCTGCTTCTGCTTCAAAGTTTAACTAGCTTGAGTCAAGGGAGGGACAAGAAACTTCAATCGTGGCTCTCTTGCAAAACTTTATTTTGTAAGCAAAGCTTTTCTGACTTCTTAGCAGAGTTCTCTTATGCCAATGGAAATCATTGTCAGTGTATTAATCTTTGGCCAGACTGACTTTCAGCAATGGGAAGTTGCCTTTCAGCAGGCTCATGTACAGGTAATTTCATTTCTCCCTATCTTCTCTCTGGTCCAGCAAAGCATTGAAGCATGTGCTCAACTTTAAGCCTCTGAAAGAGTCCCCCTGAAATCATAACTGTAGGCACATGCTCAAGTGCTTTGCTGAATCAGGGCCAGAGTGCTCAGCAGCTTGCAGGATTGAACCTTTATTCTCTGTGCTTCTCCCAGTCTTCTTTCCTTCCTGCTCTTCTCCTCCTCATCTGTTTTTGGCTTTGCTTTTTCGCACCATTTCCTAAATTTGGAACAGCAAAGAAATCACAAAGTGCAGTGGTAGGAGATGATGGTGGGAACTAAGGCAAGGGAACTTGGAGGAGTGGGCAGGGAGGGACATGGTGTAAAATGACCTGTAGATCACTTCTCTGCCAGGAACCTCCTTCCCCATCCTCTGTATTTTTCCTTAAATGTATCTGCAAAATATTTCCCAAAAATTGGGTTTGTGTCCTATCTTTCTTCACTCCAGGTGTGATTGTCCATGACTTTACTACAGGGCCGTTGGATATGGTTGAGCACGTTGATGATGAGCTCCGCCTTAACTGAAGGTTTAGTCTTCAACAAAAATCATTTCTTCCAAAAGATCGCTACATAGGGAAGTTAAATGCATGTTCATAAACTGGAAAAGTAAGTTTCAAATGGTCTGTTTAAAATTCCCTTTCCCTCAGTTGCTCAACTTTCATTCTCTTATGATATATTTCACTAGCTCTCCAGTCACTGCAGAGTGTTCCGTGGGAGACAACCTGATTTCTCATTCAGAAATCACCATTCAAAGCCACTTATTTGGCAAATCCTTTGGCCCCCACATCCTAGGGCCTGTTGCCTAATGTTTCTGTTTACTTTCTACTGTAAGCTCTGGGGCAGGGACTGTTGTTTGTTATGCAAAATGCCGACAGACTTATGCTATATTAATCGAGAGGAGGTGGATCGAGAGCTGAAGGGTATGCACATGCTCATACATGCGCGCACACAATGATCGGGAGCTGACTTTCTGGGGAGAGATGGCTGCTGTTCACACTGGCAAAGGCTGTTTTTTTCCCCTCATTTCTCTGAGACACAAGCCATTTGCATACTTCAGAAATGTTCCTGCAAAATGGGGGATGAAAAATGGGGTTGTGATGTATAATTAATGAAACCTTTTGTAGTCACTAATGAGGCATAACAGGCAACGTAAATAGGACCTCTGTTATACCGACAGCCTTTCTGTATGGCAAGTGTAATACTGAAGCTTTAACTGGGGCTTGAGGAACAACTGTGGTTAGAGTAGGGATCTCTAAGAAATTTGCCAAACTGCATCCCCTCCAAAGAGACCTGAAATCCATGAGCTACCAGATTGTGTCGTCTAAGGTTAGCTGCCAGATGTTTCTCAGCTGTTGGACCGATTTCCAGATGAGACCAAATGAGTGGCTATTCAACATGTAAGTATTAATATAAACATTTTAGGGGCCTAGCCTTGAGCAAGCCATTTAAAAACTTCCCACGATACTGTGAGTGATGCTGACTTCCTCAGAGAGCATCAGTATTTTGTATATCACACTTGAATATCCTGCGTGGGTCAGACTTGGGCTGCCACCTGCTAATATAGAGCCTGGGCTAGGCCTCCCCCTTGTTTTAGTGGCGCCAGAGCAGTGTGGTCCCTGGAATTTGATTATTTGTGTTAGCAGATAATTTAGGCCAGAAGGCTTAGAGTGCTCCCTTCATTCTCTGGCTGTCGTCATGCTTCCCAGCAAAACACAATCCCAGGGCCTGTGTCCCTCCTTCTCCCTCCCCTCCCCCCCCCCCGACAAAAACGTTTTCAACTTTGCTCCTTTAAAGAGTTCGTTTTCACTAGTTTCAAGCCCAGTGTTCAGATTTTGGGTAAAAACGGCTAGAAATGAAGCTTTTACCAACATGAAGAAGGTTGTGTTAATGGATTTATTTATTAAATGAGTTCTTCTGCAATGTTGTGAATGCCAAACCAGACCATTGGGGCTAGTGCACTAGGAATGGAAAGTGAAATTGGTCTGTCCTTGGTTTTTTTACTCTCACTCCAGGGAAATCAAAAGTAAAATAACCTGGCAAAAAAGGGTGAAAATTAAATGAGACGCAGCAAGTTTTTAATACTTTCAGTTTTACTTATTTGTGGCCCAGAATGTTGCAGCCTTACTCATGCTGACTAGTACCTTACACCAACAACAGTTCCGTTGGGACTAATTACGTGTAGAGGAAGGCGCTACTACATATGAATACGTGTAGTCCAGTCTGAACCTAAGAAGTGGCTGCCAAACTCTGGTCCATGGAGCACTTGTTGGTGTGCTATGTAGAACTGTGAGACAATGCTGCTCTCCTTATTTAAAGTTGCTGAATCATATTAAACTCAGTTAAAAACACATTTTATAGTTTTCTAATGTTACTTTTCCATGTAAACAATTGCCGTAGTGCTGATGATGTTGCAATGACAAATGGACAGAGAGGTGTCCACGAGACAGTTTTTCTGGACTTGATTCTGCTACCTTTGTTTGTGTGGAATAGTATCTTGCTCTGCAAATAGTTCCATTTATTTGGGATTATTGCTCTTGAACTAAGTTGCTACTCAAAGTGGTAGAATCACACCCTTTTATTCAGATGCATTTCACCTGATGAAAAACTTGGCAGTCACTAACCTGTGGAGCTAGTATGAAAAGGTAAAGATTTTATTTTAAAATAAGAGTCTTAGGTTGAAAACGTCTTTGAGACCTCTTCACTAAATGTTGGCCATGTCTGACAGCCTTACTATGGAATAGACTGCAACTGGCAAAAATATTTGAATAAAATAACAAACATAGTTTTCCTTCTGGGTTGACAATCACTTCCATTTCTGTTATAAAATCTAAAATATCAGCACTAAAGACAAGCTTATGCGTTGTTTGGCACCAAAATGAAAAGCAACTGAAACTTAAGTCCACAGTTTCATTTACTAAAAGCCACAACATAACCCCTAGTAACAAGCAAGTCTTAGCTCTTCATTTGGCAAGATCCTCATTCAAATGTTACTGTCTTGAATAGCGCTGTGTGGTGCGGTGAGGAAAGAGGGTTTTAATTAATTAAACATGTTTCCCTTAGGTAGGCGTCCCTTCAATTAGTTTTTCTATTAAGTGGTCTCTGCTTTTATTATTCTCTTCTTGGGTGGAGGGTATAATCTTGCATATTGCTGTGAGATTTTATACTGTTTACATAGTCCGTGCTTGATCCACAGATTGAATCCATCAGTTTGATAGCCTTGTGACATTTTTACATGGGGTGAACATTTCCTGTTAAACTGTAATTATGTTTAAAAAAAAAAAAAGTTAAAGAAAGAGAGGTTTTTAAAGCTAACTTTTCAAAGGGGGACTGCAGGCCAATCAGTTCCAGTGCCAATGTTTGAATCAGTTATTTCTGTTTACAAACAAGGAGGTTATTTACTTGTGGGTTAGAAATGTACCCTAACAACCTATCTGAAGTTTTCAGTTGTCAAGATGGAGTAAATATATAGTAAAAAATTGTATGTTGAATTACATAATACACTTGTACTTCACAATTGTCCTGCCGCCAAATTAGGACTTTACTTAAGCCTGTAGATGTTATAGATTTTGGCCTGTGCTTTCCTTAGCTTTTATTCAACCTTCATTTTTGCTCCTAATTTGTCCTACTGGTATTTTGAAGTGTGTTATAATTAGAGCACTGGAATAAAATACAGTCAACACTAGTCAGTCCTGTTTAGTGCATCAACCTGACACAAAATTGGAAAATGATTGCTCTTATGCACTACCTACAATTCAGGAGGGTGACTTTATTTTGGGTTGTTTTCTTTGTCTGCTTTTAACACCGCTGAACTGGGTATATATTATTTTTCCTTTTTCTCATCTAATACAAAGATTACTAATTGACTTCTATGGGCTTTGGATCAGGCCCAGAGATTTTATCTTTTTAAAATGTGTGAGTGAATGTAGTGGTCAGGCCTCAGTCAAAGATTACTAATTGACTTCTATGGGCTTTGGATCAGGCCCAGAGATTTTATCTTTTTAAAATGTGTGAGTGAATGTAGTGGTCAGGAAAAGGAAAGATTAATAGCTCTTGTATGAGCCATCCCAGTGCAGTGAGGTGTTGTGCAGGCTTCCTCTTCTCAGCAGCTGCAGTGTTTCATGATCCTGGCCTGTGCTACATTCTGTAATTCCAACCGTGAGTCCTCACCGTCCTCACGAGATGCACCTCGATGTGTCCTGAATCACACGTTGCTATTCTAATCCCGGTCCCTGTCCTGCCCTATCAATGCACCTCATTCATACTGTTCGAGTGCCAAGCCTGGTGTGAGCAAAGATGGCCAGTCCTTTCCCATTCGTGCATGTATTGGAGGAGAGAGGGCTTCAGACGTTAATTATCCTTCCTGTTTTACTTTAATCCCTTTGCTTTTTGTGGGAGCTAAGTTTCCAAAGAGGCTATGAAAATGTACAATTTTGAGATTGTTTTCAGTGTAATTGTGTACATTTCCCTCCACCTAGAAAGCAACAATTAGACAGAGTCCTTGAAAGTCACGGGGTGAAGAGAAGCTTTGAAGTTATAAATGGTCACGCTACAAGGTTTATTTTGCCATTCTTTTTTTGGATTTTGTTGAATCTTGTTGTTACATTTCCCCACTGATTTGATGGGACACATCTATGAAAATTCATCCAGAAAGGGAGAACTCAATGGCAAAGTGTCACCTTGGATAAAATTTGCAAAATACATGTGAAACATTAAACTAATTCTTGTGAAACAGACTTGTCCTTTTGCCTAGATTCTGTCTTCTCCAGCTCTACTCAGTGTGTGTCCCATATTGCAGATTATAGGTTCAAATGTGAATCGTTTCTCTTCAAGACCAATGAAAAATACAGACTCAGATCCCACCGCATCACCAGCTCTATATCTGGGGCAATTCCCATTGAATCCACAGCATGGAATTGTGCTTTTGATGGCAGAAGAAAGTTGGTGTCAAGACTCTGATGGAGCAGAGATACCGAGCCCCCCGCCCCCGGTTTCATTTGCCTATTGCCTACCAAAGCATGTATTGTCTCTGGACGAAAGGGGTTCTGGGTCTGGGGCTTGTTTCCCTGTGGTGTTTTCAATAGCTGCCAAGTCGTTTGGCTTGATGAGCCCTGCACTTAACATTGCACAAATCACAATCAAAAGTGATGAAGAACAACAATGATCCAATGGAAAATTTTCAGCATTGTAACATGTCTTTCCTGTAACTTTATGGTGTTTTCACTTGACATCAGTAGGGGATAGCCAGAGCCTTTTGCCTCCAAATCTCACTCGCTTTACTGATCTGAGTAAGTGTCTTTGGACCAAATTCATCCCTGGCCTGGCTCTTTTAAGTTCAGTGGAACTGGGTGTCAATTACATTCCTAATTCTGCACTGACCTGCTGTGTGATCTTAGACAAGTTCCTTCACCTCTGTCTCCCACATTTTATCTGTCTCACTTATTGACTATTTACATTGTAAGCTCCTACGGGCAGGGGCTGTCTCTTACATGTGTGTACACCACCTATAGGGTGACCAGGTAGCAACTGTGGAAAAAATGGGACAGGGTGTGGGGTAATAGGCACCTATATAAGAAAAAGTCCCCAAAACCGGGACTTTCCTATTTAAA